TAATGGATTTGACTGGAATTCGAACTCGGCTCTCCGATTCCTCAATCCGTGCCTCCTAGTCAGTTATGTGCCATACCTCCTAGTCAGTTATGTGCCACTTTGAGGCGATCATGTATCTCTCGATACATGACTGACGAGGCAGATTTTTTCCCGCAGCAGGTTGCCATTTCTTTCTACGGTAGACCAGTTGCCATCTACGGCTATAGAACCTGGCCTGTCCTGCTATTTGCCCATAGCTTGGCGATGGGAGAAGAAGAGGATTCATACCTTTCCCAAGGGTATTAGCACGTAAGTGAATGTAATGGATTCGACTGGAATTCGAACTCGGCTCTCCGATTCGTCAATTCAAGCCGCTATCTATAACTCCACCGTACGTCCGAAACAAAGAGTATTAAAGTGTATTAAAATTCAGCTTGCTATACTCTCTACTTTCGGGCGGAGAAGAACTCAAACGAGGCTATGACTTTGGACAGAGTCTCGCCTGGGGAAAAGTAGACAGCTACCCGACTCCGTGTATGCAGAGTTGACGGGGAAATTTTGCCCGAGCTTACGCGCTCGGAAAACCCGAGGAAAAAAAAAACCCGCCTTGTGCCAGTCATATCCGGCCTTGTGGAGAGCTAGGGTAAATAATAGCGAGTATTGAAATAATTCTAAAATAAAATCGTTGAAAAATAAGAAGACGAAAGAAAGCTGGAATCGAGAAAATAAAAATTAAAGAATGAGAAAAGCAAAGAACAAAAAAGGAAGGTTTAAAAAGAAATTTTTTAGAAAGTTGGTATCGAATAAAAAATGGAAAATGGAATAAAAAAAAAATAAATCAATTTTTATTTCTTCCCATTTAGACTTTCATTATTTGCTCTCGCCTCAAAATTTCACTTCAAAATTTAGGCTTTGTAAACAATGGTAGCGGTTGATGAACAAATCGGTCCATAATACACTAAAATAAGGGAGGAGGAAGGCAAGAGAATAAACAATAAGAAAGAAAGAAAGAAAGAAAGAAAGAATATAAAGACTGAAAAAAGAAAAAAAAAAAGAAATACTGAAAAAAGAAAGAAACTAGAAAACGAAAAAACAAGCAAACAGGAACATAAAAGAAAAAGCAAAGAAAGAAAGAAAGAAAGAAAGAAAGAAAGAAAGAAAGAAAGAATATAAAGACTAAAAGAAAGAAAGAAAGAAAGAAAGAAAGAAAGAAAGAAACAAACAAACAAACAAACAAACAAACAATATAAAGACTGAAAAAGAAAGACACTAGAAAACGAAAAAACAAGCAAACGGGAACATAAAAGAAAAAGAAAAGAAAGAAAGAAAGAAAGAAAGAAAGAAAGAAAGAAAGAAAGAAAGAATATAAAGACTAAAAGAAAGAAAGAAAGAAAGAAAGAATATAAAGACTGAAAGAAAGAAAGAAAGAAAGAAAGAAAGAAAGAAAGAAAGAAAGAATATAAAGACTAAAAGAAAGAAAGAATATAAAGAAAGAAAGAAAGAAAGAAAGAAAAAAGAAAGAAAGAAAGAAAGAAAGACTGAAAAAGAAAGAAAGACTGAAAAAGAAAAAGAAACTAGAAAACGAAAAACAAGCAAACGGGGAACATAAAAGAAAAAGAAAAGAAAGAAAGAAAGAAAGAAAGAAAGAAAGAAAGAAAGAAAGAAAGAAAGAAAGAAAGAAAGAAAGCAAGAAAGAAAGAAAGAAAGAAAGAGGAAGTGGTTACGGTAGAGAGTTCGAAAGAAAGAAAGAAAGAAAGAAAGAAAGAAAGAAAGAAAGAAAGAAAGAAACTAGAATACTAAAGGAAGGAATAAAGAAAGAAAGAAACTAGAATTCGAAAGAAAGAAAGTTAGAAAGAATGTAAATTATTTAAAAATATAAATAAAATGAGTTCCATGATGCTAAGTTCTTTTGCTTCTCCCAGAGTCCGCCAATCTCTGTGCCAAGATAATGCGCATATTTATATAAATTTGTGTAACACTCGAAAGAAAACACTTCTTTGTTTAATATACTCAAACATCAAGTAAGTAAGTAAAAAAAAAAAAAGACAGAAAACATCTTTTTGGCAGAAATTATTTACGAAGAAATCAACACCCAGCAATTCTCCAAGAAAGAAAGAAAGAAAATTTATTTAAGATGACGACGAAGTCACAATCATGAATGATACTAAATGAAAAAATATTCGACGTCGCTATATTTTTTTTTTATTTATTATTTTTTTTTTTTCACTTTAATGTTGATCAGGAAGAAAATAATTGTGGAGAACCGCAAAAAAGCAGAAAAAAAAATTCTTCATCGTTTATTTATTTATTTATTTATTTATCAGGAAGAGGTTGTCTCTATCTCTCACGCTTTGATTGGTAGCTCTCCAGACTTTTTCGAAAGCTATGGCGTTTGGCTTCTGAAGACTTCTTGGCATTTGTCGTGGTTAACATAGATGATACGCCTGGCTTCTGGGTTGATCTCTTTGCCCGGGAAAATGGAGACGCCTCCCTGCTTACCACCCAGCGTTGCAATTACATCCCGCATACGTTTGGTGTCGAAGGCGAGATCTGATTGTTATCACTTTATTGCTTTTCACATCTTGAGAGTAAACCAGATTAAAGCCGTTTCCCAATGTTCTCATTAAACTTAGCTACCTATATATATATATATATATATATATTTACGCAACACACATCTAGCGGAAGTTAATTAAACACAAAAACGACGTAAGGCTAGCATATATAATAAACATTGGCCCCTTTAAGAGGCTAAGATGAGGAAAATAGACAGAAAAGGTCATAAAAATGGGTCGTGCAAGTATAGAAAATAGAAAGAGGTATAAAACAAGGATGTGTCAACTCACCTCTTAATTCGTGTTGTTCTTAGGTCCACCCTGACCCGGGGTGGTAGCACCTGTTAGGAACCTAGCTATGGGTAAATAGCTAACATCCAAACTGGGGTTAAAACACTACGAAAGTATGAAAATACATTTTTTATTGCAAAAATACCAGCAATTCTTTTTTTGTAAAATAATTACTAAGGCTCTCAAGAAAATTAAATTTCGACATTAAATGAGCCAATGACCCATGAGGAGTTGATATGCCTATGAAGAGTTGATATGTTGAAATGCGACATCCCCTAGCCACGATCCTCGGGTCACATCCGGCCCGCAAAGGATTTTTCTCCGGCCTGCGAAGGATTTTTGTCTGGCCCGCGATGGATATTTGTCCGGCCCGGAAGGATATTTGTCCGGCCCACGAAGGATATTAGTCCGGCCCGCAAAGGCTTTTTGTTCGGCCCACGAAGGATATTTCTCCGGCCCGCAAAGGATTTTTGTCCGGCCTGCGAAGGATTTTGTCTGGCCCGCGAAGGATATTTGTCCGGCCCGGAAGGATATTTATCCGGCCCGCGAAGGATAATAGTCCGGCCCGCGAAGGATTTTTTTGTTTGGCCCACGAAGGATATTTCTCCGGCCCGCGAAGGATATTTGTCCGGCCAGCGAAGGATTTTTGTCCGGCCCGCGAAGGATTTTGGTCCGGCCCGCGAAGGATATTTGTCCGGCCCACGAAGGATTTTTGATCGGCCCGCGAAGGATTTTTGTCCGGCCCACGAAGGATTTTTGTCCGGCCCGACAATTTAACCGTAACTCAGGTTAACTCAACTGCCATAGCCTTTATTTTGTTTTCTTTTTCAGAAATCTTTCTTGTCTGAAGAAAAACAAACCCCATGGAAACTAAAAAAAAAATAAAGTGGATTTTCAGTGCCGAAATTTTAATAAACGTCAAATACTTACCTATTTTTTTCACTGAGAACTTCGGAAAACGTGTTTGCTTAACTTGTCAAGAAACCATTACCGTACCAAATCTTTCTCCAGACCAAAGGTAGCATTTTGAACGGAGCGGTTAGAGGTCGAGACAATTAATTATGGTATATTTAATCATGGCCCGCTTCCGCGACATCCCATAGCTGTCTGGCCCCCTCTCCCCAAAAGGTGGCTAACCACTGAATTAAATGAAATCTCGTATTAAATGAATCCTAGAACCATTATGGTATCACTGTTTAATGTATACCTAATTTTGCAACCCCCTGTATATTTATTCTTGCTTCTTTCCATGTTCCTCCTCTTTAATTCATTCATCTCTTAATATTCTTTAAACTCTGTTTTACTCCCACTAAGCAATGACAAAGAAGCGCCAGTTTCTGTAGATATTTACCGTATTTGGCCCACCGATATATAAGACGCGCCCCAATTTCCGCAAGGAAAATCAAGAAAAAAATAGTAATTAGTAAAATTAGTAAGGTTAGTAGAAAATGGTACAGCCTAGGCTATATTTATGAGGTATTATTTGGGTTAAAGAAGCCATTATTACAAATGAACGAAAAATAACAGGAAAAAAATCACGAGTCTATAAAAAATTTTTATTATATCCAAAGGTAAGAAAACAAAATAGAAAATCAAGCAATTATTACAATTGAGCAAAACAGTTACCATTAAAATTTTATTCATCTTCAAAGCCATAATATTCGTCGTCATCGTTATCAAAACTCACATAATCATTTTCAATATTACTATCATCGTCGTTAAATAATGCGTCATCTTCCGTTCCATTGAGAGCATTTTTTAATGCCACTTTTAAAAAGATTTCGCAACAATTTCTGATCTAATATTATCCCAAGCTTGCTTCACCCGTTCGCAGACTTGTGCAATGCTGGGTCGTCGTCCTGAACAGGATCAAATATTGAGAAATACGGCGTCCTGAACGGGATCAAATATTGAGAGATACGGCGTCCTGAACAGGATAAAATATTGACAGATACGGCGTCTTTCACGGGATCAAATATTGAGAAATACGGCGTCCTGCGCGGGATCAAATATTGACAGATACGGCGTCCTGAACGGGATCAAATATTGAGAGATACGGCGTCCTAAACAGGATCAAATATTGAGAGATACGGCGTCCTGCGCGGGATCAAATATTGAGAGATACGGCGTCTTGCGCGGGATCAAATATTGAGAAATACGGCGTCTTGTACGTGATCAAATATTGAGAGATACGGCGCCCTGAACAGGATCAAATATTGAGAGATACGGCGTCTTGTACGTGATCAAAAAATTGAGAGATACGGCGTCCTAAACAGGATCAAATATTGAGAGATACGGCGTGCTGAACAGGATCGAATATTGAGAGATACGGCGTCCTTCACGGGATCAAATATTGAGAAATACGGCATCCTGCGCGGGATCAAATATTGACAGATACGGCGTCCTGAACGGGATCAAATATTGAGAGATACGTCGTCCTGAACAGGATAAAATATTGAGAAATACGGCGGCTTCCTCTGGATCAAATATTGAGAAATACGGCGTCCTGCGCGGGATCAAATATTGACAGATACGGCGTGTTGTACGTGATCAAATACTGAGAGATACAGCGTCCTGAACAGGATCAAATATTGAGAGATACGGCGGCTTGCGCGGGATCAAATATTGAGAGATACGGCGGCTTGCGCGGGATCAAATGTGAAGAAATACGGCGTCTTGTACGTGATCAAATACTGAGTGATATAGCGTCCTGAACAGGATAAATTATTGAGAGATACGGCGTCCTTCACGGGATCAAATATTGGGAAATACGGCGTCCTGCGTGGGATCAAATATTGCCAGGTACGGCGTCCTGAACGGGATCAAATATTGAGAGATACGGCGTCCTGAACAGGATAAAATATTGACAGATACGGCGTCCTTCACGGGATCAAATATTGAGAAATACGGCGTCCTGCGCGGAATCAAATATTGACAGATACGGCGTCCTGAACGGGATCAAATATTGAGAGATACGTCGTCCTGGACAGGATAAAATATTGAGAGATACGGTGGCTTGCGCGGGATCAAATATTGAGAAATACGGCGTCTTGTACGTGATCAAATATTGAGATACGGCGTCCTGAACAGGATAAAATATTGACAGATACGGCGTCCTGCGCGGGATCAAATATTGACGGATACGGCGTCCTGAACGGGATCAAATATTGAGAGATACGGCATCCTGAACAGGATAAAATATTGACAGATACGGCGTCCTGCGCGGAATCAAATATTGACAGATACGGCGTCCTGAACGGGATCAAATATTGAGAGATACGTCGTCCTGAACAGGATAAAATATTGAGAAATACGGCGGCTTCCTCGGGATCAATTATTGAGAAATACGGCGTCTTGTACGTGATCAAATATTGCCAGATACGGCGTCCTGAACAGGATCAAATATTGAGAGATACGGCGTCCTTCACGGGATCAAATATTGAGAGATATGGCATCCTGCGCGGGTTCAAATACTGAGAAATACGGCGTTTTGTACGTGATCAAATATAGAGAGATACGGTGTCCTTGACGGGATCAAATATTGAGAATTACGGCGTCCTTCATGGGATCAAATATTGAGAAATACGGCTTCCTTCACGGAATCAAATATTGACCGATACGGCGTCCTTCACATGATCAAATATTGAGAGATACGGCGTCCTTCATGGGATCAAATTTGAGAGATACGGCGTCCTTCATGGGATCAAATATTGAGAGGATCGGCGTGGAAAGAGCCTGTTGCACTTTTCTTTTAAAAGGATTAGACATGCTCCTATTGTAAATTAACATTCGAAAAATTGTTCTTTTTTAACAAAGTTCGAAACCCGCCTGCTGGCACTTGTAATGAATAGGCCAGGTCTTGCCACACCGCGGCTTCAGAGCAACATCCCGCTCTTTGATCTTTAATATCAAATATCAGAAATATGAAGGACGAGTTCTCTTTTTCATCACATTTTGTATAAAAGTTAATTAGAAAATTGTCAAGCTTTGTAATTATTTGCTGGGTAAGAACTGGGAATTTGTTGGATTAAAACATAAGTTTAATGTTAACGTGTATGTAAAAAAAAAAACGTATGTGTAAATTTTGTTCATGTCTTGTGGCTTTCCATCATCTGAAATTTATGGCAAGTTAGGCCACCCCCTGAAAAAAGGCAATATCCAAGAAACACTCTTGTAGCTGTAATTATTGTAGTTTCTTTCAACTTCTTCACCCAGTCGTAGACTTGTTCAATGCTGTTTGTTTTTTTATATTCGTCCTGTAAGTGTAAGGTGGTGATCAGGCATTGCCATCCACGTGTTCCATTCCTCCTCCATGTTTAAGTCTAAACTGACAGAAGTTGCCAGATAGCTAATTTCGTCCGGCTATATTTATGAGGTATTATTTTGGTCAAACAAACCATAGTTACAATTAAACGAAAAATAATAGGGGAAAAAACCCATAAAAACCTTTATTATATCCAAAGGCAAGAAAACAAAATAAAACCACAGAAATTGCAGTAGTACGTTTAAATGAGCGCTTCATTCTTAAATGTGGTTTAATGAAAGCAAAGCACGTAACCTAGTCACATGATTTAAACAGACATATGATTTGTATGCTTTAAATTTAGCAATTTCTGAACAATTAATAAATTTATTTAGTAACTAGCAGTAGAGCCCGGCGTTGCCCGGGGATGTAACAGATAGATCAAGTATCGACCATCAAAAAGACTGAAAAATAAAATTGACAAAGATTATTGTTTAAGGTTGACGGACACACATGTCTTAATTAGTTTTTTTTATTATTAATTTTTTTTTCTTTTAAGAATTGGTCAAACTCAAACAAAAACATTGTTTCCAATCGTTATGAGTCTAGCGATTGAATAGAATTTTATTATAAACAATTGTCTTGTAAATGGAATTTTTAAAGCACTCTGAATGTAAAAATAAAGAAAAAATGTGTAAGACAATAAGAAACACTACCTGCCAAAAAAAAATGAAGTTTTGTTGAAATCGGTTGAAAATGTAGGAAATCCGATCCCATAGATAAACGAACACACACACACACACACACACACACACACAACCAACCTGGGTTTTATAATAAGTATAACGCGATATGAGTTGTCCCCCTTTCATTAATGCCTCTTAATCGTGTTTTCAAATTGATTTCGTGCAAAAACAATTGTTTTTTTGGGCTCAGAACCACCGCAAGGTAATTTTACGTTGTCCTGTGGAGTTTTGTTGAAATCGGTTGAAAAATGTAGGAAATCCGATCCAATATATAAACGTACACACACACACACACACACACAATCTGCGTTTTATAATAAGTAAGATTTCTAAACAGTAGATTTATTTTTTAATTCAACTTATCTTTTAATTATTTTAAACGTTATTTTTAGAGGATGCCCGTATCTGAGTAGACGCTCTGTTTATTTTAAAACACTATTTTATTTCGTCTACCATCCTGCACCCACGGGTGTGGTCAAATGAGCAGCGACCCTAGGATGACACCTGGTCATGGAATGGATGTTGAAGGTAATGGAGATGATGATTTTTTGAAAATACCTTTTGTCACTATTCCAAGATTTCGATCAATCTTGGATATCTGTCAACATGAGTTTTGTGTGACGGTCGTGGCTCGGGCTCGCAACGTTTCAACACTGAGCTTGTGACTTCTTCATATCTCCCTTTCATTTAAACATTAGTCCTTTTATTTATTTATTTAATTATTTTATTTTTATTATTTTTTTCGTTCACCGGCCTGCTCACTCGGGAAAGCTTATTAAAGAAAATGCGCCTTCCGTCGGGATTCGAACCTGCGTCCCCACTTTTCAAATCTCTTTGTATCCGAGCGGTAAGATGCACGTCGGATTAAGCGATGGTTTCTTCTGAAAGAATAAGCTTTCCGGTTTTCACCCCGGTCAGATGCGCAGCGACCCTAGGATCAGACACGGTCATGGAATTGATGATGATGGCGATGGAGATGACTTTGAAAACTTGTATATTTGCTGACATGAGTTTTCTGCGATGGGTGTGGCTCAGGCTCGCGATGTTTCAACACTGAGCTTGCGACTTCTTCATATCTCCGTTTGTTTTAAAAAGTATTTTATTTCGTCTACCGGTCTGCATACGCGAGTGGGGTCAGATCCTCAGAGACCCTAGGATCACAACCGGTCATGGAATTGATGATGATGGCGATGGAAATGATTCAAAAACTTCGACCAATCTTGGGACTCTATCAACATGAGCTTTGAGTGGCTCGTGGGGCTCCGGATAGAATTTTTAACAAAATATGTGCGGAATTGCATTTTTATTTTTTTATGGAGGTAACCCACATTTTTGTCGCTTGTGCAAACTTCCAAGTAGAGTAGATTTTTTTGTTCATGATGACGGTCGTCTTTGAATATAGAATCCAGAGGTTAGCAGTGAATATTTCGAAGACAGTAGGGAAGCGTAGTTCAAGTTAGCAGTGGATATCCCGGTAAAAGTAGCAGAGCGTAGTTCTTCCTTCTGTTCCTCTTCGCCTGACAAGCTGACACTGGACATTCGGATAGAGTAAACAAAATGGCTGCCTTTATACACGACGGATTGAATATTCTACGTCTTCTGATTGGTTAACCTTCTATTGGTGGAATATAAAATGAGTCAAGTCATTTGGACTGTCTCACCAATACATAATGTATCCAAAAAACTTTAAGATAAAACAAATAAATAATGATAATCTACTGAAGTACAAAAGAAACGTTCTCTGGGTCTCCTGGGAATTCTTCATCGGAAATCATTATTACTGGAACTTAGTTGCTTGGGGTTTTTTTTTTGGGGGGGGTCCGATATCTCAAAATTTGTTTTTATTTAACCTACCATTCTTACAGTGCAGTAACTGAACCTTCCACATATATGTGTCTCCATAATATTTAACAAATGGCAAGTCACATTTTCTTGACTGGTTATTTTTTTCATTGCTCAAACAAATCGATGTACAAGGTTAATCAAAAAAGTTCTGTCCGTTTTTAAAGGAAAAAAAGAAAACGCTTCACAGTATGTGTAACTTATATTTAGTCTTCGAAGTAATCGCCATTGGCATCCAGCACCTTCTGCCAACGTGTCTCCAGCTGTTCAATGCCCTTGCGGTAGAACTCAGGGGGGTTTGACGCAAAGAAGTCTGTGGGGGCTTTGCGCAAGTCTGCTTTATTGGTGAAGGATTTCACACGAAGATGATTATCCAGGGAGTGGAAGAGGTAGTAATCAGAATGCGCATGGTCAGGTGAATAAGGTGGATGGCACAAAGTCTCCCACCCAAGTTGCTGTATGGTATCCCTGACCACTTGTGTGACATGCGGCCTGGCGTTGTCATGGAGGAAAAGCACACCTTTGTGATTCACCAGTGGTGGCTCCTTCTGGCGCAATGCCTGTTGCACACGTTTCAATTGATGCAAGTATAGGTCTCCAGTGACCGTTTGGCTCGTTGGTAGCAGTTCATAATGAACCACTTGACGACCTGTCCACCAGACACAAAGCATAATCTTGCGTGGGTGTATAGGTGGTCTTGCGGTGTGAGGGACAGCATCCCGAGGAGACAACCAATGTCTGGAACGCTTGGGAGTTTCGTACAAAACCTACTTTTCATCACTGGTAAGCACTCGATTGAATAAGGATGCGGTACGGTGGCGAGAAAGAAGTGATACGCAGGCTGCCACTCCTTGTCCCTTGTGGACCTCCAACAGCGTTTGCGGAACCCACTTGCTCAGTTTGTACGTCTTACCTAGGCGGTGCAGGTGAAGTCTAACTGTTTCATCGGAAACGCTGAACTGTCTTGCAAGTTCACCACACGTTAAACTACTGTCCTCTTCAATGGCCGCCTTCAGGACTCCGTCATTCAAGACCTGTGGTCGTCCACTGCGAGGCTCATCATGGAGAGACAGATCTCCCAACTTGAATTTTCGAAACCAACGCCTTGCAGTACGTTCATCCACAGCACTATCCCCAAACGCTTGATATATGCGGCGACTTGATGCAGCTGCTGATAAGTCCACTTTGAAGTCGTAAAGCAAACAGCACCGAACGAGATCTCTAGACACTTCCATCCTTTTCACAGCTGTCCGGCTTATAACTGATGGCCGGGCGCGGTACGCGTGTTTTTTTATAACGTCTGATGTTCCTACTTCCGGCTGTCCGAATTTGAAAACAATTGCGACACGCATTTCGTATATATTTCAACTTCATTCAATGACTAGTCAAAAAACGGACAGAACTTTTTTGGTTACCTTGTAAAACGAAGGTCTTTATTCCAATTTCCTTTATGTCTATATTTTCCTTTGTTTATTATATATATATATATATATATATATATATTACAAGCCGAATTACTCGCACCTTGCTTCTTGTCACATTTTTTTCTGACTGATTTTAAATCATTGTTATAATTTATGGGAAAAAATTATGTATTTCCATATTACTCAATGATCTTGCTGATTTGACTTCCATCTTCTGGATGATTTCTCCTTCTATATTTTGAATAGGAGTCATTCCTTTGTTCAAATTTAAATTTGATTTAAATCAAAGGGAAAAAATTTTCAGTGCAGGTCTGTGAAAAAACAATTTGAGCTGACCCCTTTAACATGTATTTGATACAATACTTGATTGAATGAATGGATGAACAAATTTCAACATTGATAAAACAGTTGATTTGTCGCCACAAATATGTATTGTAAGGCACTACACACTGATTGGCCATTTCTTGTTCAACTTGACATCCATATTGTCTCATTTTGATCTTGTCGATGTGA